CGGTGTGTGATTTACCAAGCTGTTTATCTCATGTTATCATACATATGACAACATTTAGTAAAGTAGGATTGGTGTGTGATTTATCAAGCTGTTTATCGCATGTTATCATACATATGCCCACAAATAGTTAAGTAGGATTGTTGTGTGAATTCGAATTACCAAGCTGTTTATCTCATATTATCATACATATGACAATATTTAGTTAAGTAGGATTGGTGTGTGATTTACCAAGCTGTCTATCTCATGTTATCATACATGTGAAAACATTTAGTTAAGTGGGATTGGTGTGTGATTTCGCAAGCTGTGTATATCTTGTTATTATACATATGACAACATTTAGTTAAGTAGGATTGGTGTGTGATTTACCAAGCTGTTTATTTCATGTCATCATACATATGACAACATTTAGTTAAGTAGGATTGGTGTGTGATTTACCAAGCTGTTTATCTCATGTTATCATACATATAACAACATTTAGTTAAGTAGGATTGGTGTGTGATTTACCAAGCTGTTTATCTCATGTTATCATACATATGACAACATTTAGTAAAGTAGGATTGGTGTGTGATTTATCAAGCTGTTTATCGCATGTTATCATACATATGCCCACATTTAGTTAAGTAGGATTGTTGTGTGAATTCGAATTACCAAGCTGTTTATCTCATATTATCATACATATGACAATATTTAGTTAAGTAGGATTGGTGTGTGATTTACCAGGCTGTTTATTGCATAATATCATACATATGAAAACATTTAGTTAAGTAGGATTGTTGTGTGATTTCCCAGCTGTTTATCTCATATTATCATGCATATGACTACATTTAGTTAAGTAGGATTGTTGTGTGATTTCCCAGCTGTTTATCTCATATTATCATGCATATGACTACATTTAGTTAAGTAGGATTGTTGTGTGATTTCCCAGCTGTTTATCTCATATTATCATGCATATGACAACATTTAGTTAAGTAGGATTGGTGTGTGATTAACCAAGCTGTTTATTTCATGTCATCATACATATAACAACATTTAGTTAAGTAGGATTGGTGTGTGATTTACCAAGCTGTTTATCTCATGTTACCATACATATGAAAACATTCAGTTATGTAGCATTGATGTGTGATTTACCAAGCTGTTTGTCTCATGTTATCATACATATGACAACATTTAGTTAAGTAGGATTGATGTGTGATTTACCAAGCTGTTTGTCTCATGTTATCATACATATGACAACATTTAGTTAAGTAGGATTGATGTGTGATTTACCAAGCTGTTTATCTCATGTAATCATACATATGACAACATTTAGTTAAGTAGGATTGGTGTGTGATTTACCAAGCTTTTTATCTCATGTTATTTATTGAAAAATGAATAAATTCTTGGTTTTTCGAGTAGGCTTCTACCATGATTAGTTCATTAATTTGACATTATTAAAATCGCACTAATGTATTATATTACAATAAACTGCATTGAAAGACATTGACTGAAAAAGTTACTTGCAAATTTAGAATTATTGGCGTGATTTTTTTGAGCTTTGAAACATTGCAGCCAAACCAGTAGACTTGATGGCGCTGAAATATACAGTACTGACAACACACTTTATTACATGCACATTTAATTACTTTAATAGTTCACCTGCCGTTGCCTACTACATTCGACTATGGATGGCAACTGTTATATTGCACGAAAGTTCGCCAGAGAAATACAAACAAGACTGGTTCTGGGCTGTCATGAACGTAACTAACTTTATTTTCAATGCGCATGCGTGAACCTCGTTCCGCAACAAGGATAATACATAACAGTAGGATATACAAAATATCACATCTTCTCCCCTTTTTAACAAGTCTTGAACATTAAAGTATCTATGACAGTATAACAATTCCTTAACAATTCCAACAATCAAAGTTTATAAAGTTGAACAATTTCCAAAAACTGAGAAATACAAACTGAACTGAGTTGGGTGGACTGCCAACGTATGTCAAGTATTCCCACTGGATTATTCTGCCCTTAATAAGGTAGGACATACTTATTTTAGACATTAATAAATCTATCAGATGGTTTACGGATTCTCTATGGATATCGCCGTTCACTTATGTTGGTAGGTGTTTCTGAAGATGTGGTACACTTGTATGATGTGAACTTCGTTCCTTTGGAACTGTCATCACTTGGCTGTAACTTTTGTTGACTTGTCTCAGCGTTATTGTCAATTGCAGGTGGAAAAAAAGAGTTCAGGTATCATCGTCTGACGGTCATTATTAGACTGTACATGTTCGTTTTGTGAATGACTACCTGAAAACAATACATGTGCTCACAATGAATGAAATGGACTTTTCCCCCTACACCGAACTAGATATGTAAGAGGGCCCTTAACTGCAAATACAACTTCTAAAACCCATTTCTCAATATTTCCCCATCATATTACGAACCATAACAGAATCCCCCGTTTTAAAATGTCCCA